CTACCTTGGATTGAACCCCGGGTCATGAACACAGTTTTGGATGCACTACAGCAGTTTAACCACTGTGCCATGAGGCACTTCAATAGAAATTGTTCAAAAAGAAGAGAAAGAATATAAATGGGAGGTGGAGTTGCAGTATGTGTCAAAAATATACATTCCTGCAGAAATATAGGAGGAGGAGATTGGCAGTCTCATTGCAACCACCTGAAAAACATAGCAGTAATAACTAGAAGACAACATGGATTTGTCAAAAACCAATCCTGCTAGACTAATCTGATCTCATTTTTTGATCGGGTAACAGAGGGAATTCTGTAGACATCGTATATCTTGACTTCATCAAAGGCTTTGACAAAGTTCCCCATGATATTCTAGTTCACTGGTTCTTAACCTTGGGTTACTCAGGAGTTTTGGACTGCAACTCCCAGAAGCCTTCACCACCAGCTGTCCTGACTGGGGTTTCTGGGAGTTGCAGTTCAAAAGCATCCGAGTAACAAAGGTTAAGAACCACTGTTCTAGCTAGCCAGCTAACTAGGTGTGGGCTGGATATAACAACTATCAGGTTGGCTACAGAATCATACTCAGAGGGTGATGATAAATGGCTCCTTCTCAAACTGGGAGATGGTAACAAGTGAGGTGCATCAGAGCTCAGTTCTGGGCCCAGTGCTCTTCAACATTTTTATTAATGACCTAGATTAGAGGATGCAGGGGATGCTAATCAAATTTGCAGATGACCCCAAAATTGGGTGGAATGGCTAATACCCTGGAAGAAGAAATAAATTTCAAAATGATCTAGATAGGCTTTGAACACTGGGCTGAAAACAACAGAAAGAAATTCAAGAGGGATAAATGCAAAATAATGCACCTAGGAAAAAGGAACCAAACACAGTTACAAGATGAGGGATACCTGGCTAAGCTATACTGTGATTGAGAAGAATCTTGGAATCATCGTAGATCACAGACTGAATATGAGCCAGCAGTGTGATGTGGCTAGAAAACTGCAAATGCAGTTTTAGGCTGCATTAGTTAGTATAGTCTCCAAATCCCACCAGGTACTTGTTCTCCTCTATTTGGCCTCATCAAAACAAAAGGCACATGGTAGTTGGTGTTTACTACCAGCCACCCAATCAAGATTAAACTTTTGGACACCGCACTTCGAGAAGGATGCCAACAAATTGGAACAAGTTCAGAGAAGGACAACAAGGATGATCAGAGGGTGGAAACCAAGCCTTATGAGGAAAAACTGAACAAGTTTGGCATGTTTAGCTTTGAGAAAAGCCTAAGGAGAGATACGATAGCACTACCACCTGGCAGATATCCTTGGATTTGTATTTTACATTAAGCAGAGGGGTTGGACTCGATGGCCTTATAGGCTCCTTCCAACTTCATGATTTTGTGAAATGAATCATACCTAATAATGATGTCACTAATTCATTTTCGGGGTGTGGAATTTATTAAAGAGTCATTGAACTATAACAGAATCAAGTCAGTTTAGCATTTGCTAGTTCTGCCCAGTTCTTTCTGAAACAACTTGTGTTTGTCTCTTAGATTAGGTACAGAATGATCTGCCTTTGGTTTATTGCTTTATTGACTCACAGATTAGTTGTATCAAAATACAATGCAAAGTTATTTGTAAGAATAAGTGGTTGTTTATTCTGGACACTACTGTTATTGCCTTCCTATTAAAAATAATCAAAGTTGCTAACATAAAAAAATGAAAACATTTGTCATTATCTGATACTGATAGAAACACAAGAAGAGTATAAAAGACCAGACTTTCTATATCAGTTTACAAATAATTAAAATAAAGAAAAGTTTGCTCTAACTAGCCTAGTTCTCAGCCTACTAATGCCTGTTTTGAATACAGAGGCACTAAACTGCTTTATCAAAAGATATAGACAAAACTGCATGTACTGTCTTTTAGGAACTTATCAGATTTGTACATCAGAAGATACTGCTGGTTTATTCCAGTCTTTTAATCACTACGTAGATTTCTTTTGCTGAAAGATGAAAACAGGTGTTGTCAACCATGCATTCAGAATAGTTATGTTTATCCTCACACCAGAAGTAATACTGTTTATCATTGTAAAATGAGGGGAATTGCTTAGGTCTGTTTTTAAAGTAGCTGGAATATAGTGTAAAGAGACTGTTTTCCTACTGCCTGTGTTTGAATAACATTGAATTTTTGCTTTTCAAGATCCTGAATTTGATTAAAACCTGCAGGACAACTGAGGGGATAAGTCTTCAGGATTTGAAGTCCCAGTTGCAGAGTATGAATCTACAGACACTCAAGTACGTATGTATAGGAAGCTGCAGCTGTTGGCCCAGTGCTTGAACAAGTGCACAAAAGAAGAAACAGCTTATGATATCTTATTATACTGTAAGAAAGCCATGTTGATTCATTTCAAATTGCAATCAGATATGTGTAGCCTAATGCTAGATGCTACAAGCTGATTTACATTTCCTGTTCAAGAGTTTGCCTCTCAGCATATGGCTGGTCTAAAGCACTGGTAGGTAACAAGTTGATTGTGATCTGCCAGTACAGTAGATGTCCAGTGGGACCTCAGTTGCTATAGTTCTTGCAAAAGACTGTTGAGCTGGTTAGTGACCGTAAGTCTGCCTTATGGTCTTACTTAGGTAAGACTGCATGCAAGGATCATTGGCCACAATTTAGTTCAGTTAGCCACTTGAGCGGACTGATAAAGTACTCTTTGTTTTATGAAATTAAAATGTTGGCAGACCAAAAGGGTTCATGCATGGGAAGATACACATGACCCTGTACGTGAGTGATAGTAGTACTCACGTACACGATCATGTGTATCTTCCCATGCAAGATTTAGTTTGAACTCAGCAGTCTACCAATCATTGAAGCTGCCCAGAATCCTGGAACCTCACCACCGCCAGCTCCTTGTTTTGGGGTTTTCATCAAGACAGCCTGTGGGTATCTTTTGGCATTACCCAGCACCAACACTGGTGCATTCCACTTCAGTACTCAATGTACAATTCAGCAGAGGACTGCTTATGAATGTATTGTAGCTTTATTTTGCTTTTCAAATGCATTTCAGATAACGTAAAATGTATTATATGCCATTTCTTCCTATGGATATGTTTGTTCCCTAGCCTCAAGACCTGAGCTGCTAGGAAGTTAAGGTTCTTAACTTAGAATATCTGCAGATTAAGGGTTACCTTAATCTGCAGATATTCTACCCTCTTCTTTCTTAATTCTTCAAATGTTTTGAATTCCCATTTGAAATAATTAGTTTACTGGTGGCTTCCTTTTTTAATCTTAGGGGAGCCAAAGTAGCATAGTATATACATCTCTTGATTTCATATTCCTTCCAGATTGTTGCACTTAATGGGTAGGGATGCCTCCCACTAATCTGATCTTTTCTGTGCTAGATCAATGTGCCTGTTCTTTATTGTTGCTCACTGAATATACCAGCAATAAGCTTGCTTGCTCTACAAATGTGTTTTTCCTTTTGGTTTATGTCTACAAGAAGAAAAATAGATTAGTGTTCCTATTTTAGGTTTAATGGAGGTAACCTAGCTGCCTCCAGCATGAATGGACACCATTTAGCAAAACTGCAGGGGCATTAAGAACCACTGCGTTTACAGTATCTTTTTGACTTGCAGTGAGAGAAAACCTGGCTGTTTGCCCTTTTCTAGGTACATTTTAATCCTCTGGAAAACTAAGTACTAAAGGCATGTGCATTACACAGCAATGAGGTTGTGTCTCTTTTTTTCTCCTTATAAATACAGGAAAGCTGTTGAGTTTCTTAGCAGCGAGGGACATATCTATTCCACTGTCGATGATGAACACTTTAAATCTACAGATGGTGATTAAGGCTTGGTGATCATGATCTTAATCTAAGAGTTCTGATGGTGACTCTTGTGGACCCAGTGAATGCCCTTCTGCACATCAGTGCTTGTTGGCTGCCATGACTTGGAAATGGTATGTCAACTTTGCCTGTCCATCTACAAGATAGAACCATCATAGAAAAGGTCTTAGAATTTTATTATTACTGAAGAAGGAGAGACAATGTAAATGCAGTATTGCTGTATTTCAAGACACCTTTGAAGCCTCAATAAAGTTGTTTTGATGTTTTCTCCCTCCTTTGGCCAAGAAAATTATATTATGCAATTAAGCTTAGGGGTCATCTAGGGTACTTTATGGGTACAAGTATGCCATGACTTTTAGTTTATGATGTGTTAACATAGAATCTTAACACTTTCATAATGCAGGAAATCCAGCTGTTGTTTGTCTCTAAAATAGTCATTTTTATTGATTCCTTTAGCATAGCTAACACATGACCGTAAGATTTGGATTTGTTCTTTAGCAGCATTTTTATAAGCATACAAGATGTAGAGGCAATGTAGATCCTGTGGTCTGTCATAACATATATTTAGATTGAAATACAAGTAACACATCCAAAGCAATATTGCTAATTTGGTATAGAATATGTTGCTCTTGTACTCTGTTTAGCCCAGACTGGAAATCTAAGTGCCAGGAAATATAACTATGCAAAAAGAAAGTCATCATAAAATCTTGCAGTTTTGAAATAGACAGAAGGCTTATATTGAAACCATAATAATCTTTGTATAACTGGAGTCCCAGCAGACTTGATCAAGAGCTCAGCTAGGACTGCAAAACAACGTAGTTCCATCCTCATACTGTTTTTATTAATTGTAGCTCTTGGACAAGGAATACATTTGTCAGAATCCTGGCAGCACACTAATGAAGAAATGTTCAGTATTTTGCTCTATTTACTGTTTGTTTATCTCAAACTTGATTTCAGACTTTTTTACTGGTTGCAAGAAGCAATGGTACTTTAAAAAATCCTCCTTTTTATCAGCCTACAGAAGCAAAGAATATGACAATGTCTTCCTCTTTGGTCTCCTGAAGAACCGTGTAAAGCGTGGTGATCTCAGTGTTTAATAGAAGCACTTCCCATTTTGTGAGCAATTCCTTTCACTTCTTCATTAAGTTCTTCATAGTCATGGTCAGAATCATCATTAAAAGTCATGCCTGAAAAGTAATGATGTACTTAAAATTTTAATCCAGCAAGTGATATATAGCAATAAAAGCAATGTGTTTCAAAACCTAAACAAGCCAAAACTTTCCAAAAACATTAATGAGAGAAAATGCAGTAAATCTATAGCAGATCAGTGATTTCTCAGCAGCCTAAAAATGCTCTCTTGTACCTTAATCTGGTATCTAGATCTCATTGGTTGAAGAAGCAGGTATATGTGTAGGAGAGAATTTCAAGTAACAGCAAGGATTTATAAAATGATTGAAAGAGATGGATAGACTCATCTTTTTTGGAGGAGGGGGTCATCCTTAAGAAAGGTAATGAAAGTTGTAACTTCATTGCTAAAGAGGACATGGGATAAATAAAACTGCTGCAGGAACCACCAATTTGTATTTTTTTTCTTTGTATAACTGCCTTTTTGTATCTGATTCTGTGTTAATGCAAAATTTCTATAAGCTGACTTTTTCTTGACAGTACATGATAGCTAGTTGCTGATTAAAATCATTTTTTCTTTGTATAACTGCCTTTTTGTATCTGATTCTGTGTTAATGCAAAATTTCTATAAGCTGACTTTTTCTTGACAGTACATGATAGCTAGTTGCTAATTAAAAATCATTAATATTGATACTCTGCACTGTGCTTTACCATCACAACCTTTAACCAATCCCTACATTTTGTAAGAATATTTCCCATCTAGTAAAAGTGTTATCGCAGTGCAGTTGTTTAAGAGTTTTAAATTGAGAGGTGCAAGTGAGAATCAATTTTGTTTCTTTAATTTCTGAATTATAAGTTCTATTCTGTGTTACATTTCCTTTCGCACAGAATTCTTGATCATTCAGTATGAGTGCAGTTAGGCATCCATTTGTTGTGGTGTATGCAGCATTGCACTGGCTAAGCATCTGTTTTTATTACTTTTTCCCTTCTTCTCTTTGCCATTTTACAGTTCTTGCTAACAACAGGCAATGCACTGGGGTGACTTAGGATTTTATATGTTATTTTTAAAAAAATACTTCCTCATGGAAAATGTGCTGTACTATTGACTTGTGTTGCTCTTTGTCTATGGGTAGAATGTGACTGCTTTGATATTTTGGCACCTATAATGTGCTTGCTCTGTAAAGTGGGGGAACTAATCGTACCTGTAGTTTGCTTGCAAGATTTGGTGGGCTTCAACGGTCTTGAATGTCCATGTTCTGTGATGTACTGGTTTGGATCAGCAAGAGTAATATCACTTGTGTTCTTCTGCTTAGGCACAGTAAGTAGATATTTTTCAGGTTTCTGAGATGTACTATACTGGAAGTGATACAGAACAAGAACAGATAGGTTTATTCCTAAAATAGTTTCATGTATCATGATCAGCAAGTTTACAGTGCACTTCTGGATAGGAAGGATTAGCCGGCTGCATTCCGTTGCCGAGGAGATGGCCAAGTGTACTTGCAATGCCTTGCACTCTTTGGGGAGCCCTGTTCTATTTTTTCCCTTCTAATCTATACTTAGATTATATTTCACACTTCAAAGAAAATCCTTTTAGTGAATATACAGTAAAAGCTAGGAGAAATTTGATTTGAACTCTTGCGGAAACAAAAGGAACTCACTGGATAGACACTGTAATAGCTTGACATGGCAAGAAGCAGCCAGGAAGCTTAGAGACTGCTGAAAATATTGAACAGTGATCCAGACAAAATGACATTGTATGCAAATATAAATGCAACCAAATAGCAAATCAAGTACTCCTGGCAAGGAAGACCAAACAATGCATAATAAAAAATCACGGTGGCATTTGGAATGAATTCAGTTCCATACTGGTAGAACTGGAAGAAGCCATAAGATGATGTATGAATTGCAAAGTTGTGGGACTCTCGATCTGAATCAAGGAAATAAAACATTTTGATCTAAACACAAAGGAATGGCTCCTTCACCTCTTTATAAACTGCTGGACAAGCAAACAAATTACAAAAATATGACAAGACAAAGATAATTGCTGTTCTGAGACCAGGAAAAGACAACCAGAATCCAAAAGCTACAGGCCAATCTCCTTACTACGTCACTTGTACAAAGTGTTTGAACGAATGGTATTAAATTGTCTAGCCCCTATAATTGAACCTTTTCTAATTTCAGTACAGGCAGGCTTTAGACCTGGCAAGAACTGTACAGATCAAATATTAAATCTAACCTAGCATATAGAAGATGGTTTCAAAACATAAAACAATTAGAGCAGCATTTGTTGACCATAAAGTAGCATATGATACTATCCACTGTCAATTGCTAATCAAAAAGCTCTACCTCCTTAATAATGATTGTAGACTAACAGAAATAGTTACTGTTCTACTTCAAAATTGAAAATTCTCTGTTCAATTTCAAGGGAAGCACAGTCACTGGAGAAATCAAAGGAACCGTCTCCAACAAGGTAGCACCATTACTTTTTAACATTTACACAAATCATCAACATACATTCCCATACTCAAGGAATTTTATCTATGCTGATGATCCCACCTTGATACCCTTGTGTCCACTGTACTAGATCTTTCCTTATATTATAAAAGCAACCAATTGAAACCAAGCCGTTTCAAAACATGCCTGAACCTTCCACTTAAAGGACAGAGAAGCATCTGATTTAGCTGGGAAGGCAAGATTTTGGAACACTATCCTTTGCCAGAGAATTTGAGCATTGCTCTGGATTGAACCCTTAACTACAAATGATATTGTCTAAACCCCAAACAGAAAGTTGCTGCCAGAAATAACATACTTGGGAAACTGACTAGGTCAGACTGGGGTGCACATCCACAATCAAGAACAACGCTTTGTCCCTGTGCTGCTACATCAAAGAGTGGTATAAATCAGCACATGCCAAACAAGTGGATATGGCTTTAAATTATCATAAGAGTAATGGCATTGGAAGGGGCCTATAAGGCCATCGACTCCAATCTCCTGCATGCAGGATTATTACTGGCTTCCTTAAATCTACCCCCAATGATACAAACGCAAGATTAAACTACAGCCACACAGGTAGGCCATGCCTTTCCTATAGCCGTCTAGCTAGGCTTGCTATCTAGGTGAAGCTGCAGTACCATCAAGTCCACTGCCCAGGCCACACAAGGATGGTCCTCCAGCCACAAAACCGTCTCCAGAGCAAGGAGATCTTTTCTTACCCACGAACCAATTCAAAAATCAGAAAGGGAAAAATATTAATCCAGTGTTCCTTCCCCAACCATAACAGAGCCTCTGGTCCTGGGCATCATAGTAAAAAAAATTAAAAGCAAGGAAACAGCCACCTAGGCATGCAATTTGACTGCCTGGAATGAAGAGACTCCCACTCACCAAAGCCACTAATAAAGGAGAAATGTCCCAAGCTGGTGTCTTATCAACAACCACACAACCACACCTGCAGCCTAGTGGGATAGAGTTAGTATGAATTAAAAAGTTCAACCCCCTGGTCTAAATTCCCCCCCCCCAAAGCCAACAAAACAGGCACCCGAATAGCATTAAAAATATGCACCTTTAATAGAATAAATACATACTAAATTAACCAAACAACAATTAAAAAAATAAACATTCCTCCCCACAACCACAGGGAAAATAGCAACATAAGCACATACACAGTCCCTTCTCCCTCTCCCAAAAACCAAGAGAAGCAAGCAAGTAAATAAAAGCAAGATTTCCCCACCCCAACCATAACTCCCCAGAATATGGGGAGGTACTTTTCTCCTCCACCACTTAATGTCTTCTTTTTTATGTCTGGGACAGCAGGCCCGGCAACAGAGAAAAGGAAAGGATTCAAGATGAAGGTAAGGCACCAAACCAACAGGAGCAACTGAGCACAGTCATCCCGCAAGCAACCACTAGCAAAAAATGTTCCTCAGAACAGAATCTAGCCTTGTGGCGTCTGTTTTAGTTTTCACTAAAGCTTGGCATTTAGTGCCTGGTGGAAGAGGTGTTCATTTGGAATTAAGTGATTCTGAACCCAGGAAGACAAATGTGAATAGGATACTACAACTGAATAGGGGTCACAGAAATCCACACCTAGTCACCACAAACATCATTTGAGCAGCATAATTTAGGAAGATTTTGTTGTTTTTAATAATTGGGAGTTAGCAATCCTTGGTGAAATCGAAATAGAAAAGGCAAGCCATTATCCACTTTGGCCAGCCATAGCAATACAAGACTATATAAAGTAGCTGGAGAAATGCAGGACTGGGAGGGAGAAGTATGCACCCTCACATAAGGGGTAACATGCCTTTCTAGCTCTCCAGGAGTGGGTCTGCTACACAAAAGTAGACCTTGTCCAAACAACAGCATGGGTTAGGAATAAGTAAGCTCGTTTTTTTTATTTTCCCAAGTGTGTATCTTATTTGAAAGATCCAAGGTTGATTTTGTAAAATCTTGGAATTTTGTTCTAGTTTTGCTAAGAAAACTGAGTATCTTTTCTGTTTTGTAACCATTTAATATTTTCCCTGATCCTTTTTCTTCTTTTTAATAAAACACATAAAATCATATCTAGGAATTGAGTGTATTTTTTGTGTGCAGAGGAAATCAAGGTACTTCTGGTGTCTGAACCACTTTGCTAGTTCCTGTCATTTGAAGTACAAAAGTGTGTGTGAAAATGGTGGCAGGGCTACTGTGTGTGCGGAACATAGATGAACTTTCATTTCTTAAAAGCCCCAGTCTCAAAAAGTTGTGTGTCCGGAAGTTGAGTGAAATGTCTCTTTCACCCTTGTGCATTCCTTGAATTTCTCCAATTCAGAAAGGGCTGGGGAGGAAAGGTGCTATCGGAGAGTTGGACAACTGCAGGTTAGAAGTCCCATCACATCATCTACAACCATCTGAGCTGCAGCAGTGCTACATCAGGGCCCTAGAAGCATCGTGGAGGTATTAAAATACTGGGCACCAGTCACAGAATTTGCTGGTTAGACAAGTTGGTTGGGTTGGGGTTTTTTTATGGTCTGCTAGCCCTTTCCCTTTAAAGGTCCAATAGAGTGAGTGTGAGCATGTATATGTGTGTGTGTCTATATGAGTACTGCAAACAAGCATGAAGTACTCAATGGGTGAGGGAATGCCTCCTAAAATCAGTTTGAAACACAGGAAGTAAATAAGTTAATTTTGGTTAAGCATTTGCCACTTTATCAGTCAAGAACACCTTTTTTTAAGACTGACCAATTTTTATTTTTTAAAAATTATTCAGTTCATGGTTTCAGACTATCAACTAAACTAAACTTACCTTGAACTAAAACCTTCATTACCTGACCACATTGACAAGGGCTGATAGGAACCAGAACACAGAATATCTGGGGGACCTTACCATAGGATCTCTAATCTATGACAACTTCTGATGCTTCTGCTTTTGAGGCTATATACCTCCATTTCTTCTCCATCCCCTCCTATCTCATACCTCAGAGTGATCAGCTGTGTTCTTCCTTTCTGCAGCGTTCAGGGAACACCCGTCAAGTCTGGAGTCCTTTCGTTTAGGGGGTCTGGGAGGTGCAGGTGTGTGGCTTGGCAGCTGCTTTAACAACTGGTAGTAAAAGACTTCAGACAATTCTTCTACACAGGGAGGGCTGGTGGACGGTATGGCCTTTGGAGGATGTCCAGTGAAAAAAACAGATATGTCCATCCACCGGGGTGGAATTTCAAATGTGTGATGGGGTTCCTCGGCCAGGCTAACTGCGAGAAAAGGTTCCTTGATCTGAGCCTCCAGGGTAAGGACAGAGAAGCCACTGAGTGGATCAAGAGCACTGTCACTGGTGACCACTTTTACCTCACAAGGCATATTGAAAAGCTCAATCACCTCAGTAATAGTATATTTCCTTCTATCACGGATATCTTCTACAAAGCCAGCTTCTAAAAACAAGGGCACCTGGATTTGTTCTCCATCATCATCTCCATTGTTTCTGTAGCACACCAGGGTGTCTGTTGCTGATGGATCACTGGCCCTAGTGAGGCCTTGCACCTCTAGCCGGTCACCTATGCTAAACAAGGGGCATTCTCCATCACTGCTCTCATAGTCCTTAGTGACCACCACTTGTAGTTTCTTGGTCATAGTTAAGGCATGGACTAACTCTGAAGTTGAAGAGAAAGTGCGTGGACATTGGCGAAAACAACCTCTGTAGTTACTGGAGATGAGGAAGTGGCTGTTGCGTGCCTTCCCTTTGTGGGAGGAGGCCAGGATCTTCCAGGTCATCACTTTGCTGTGAATGTGAATCCTGGTGCCTTTATACAGACGAGAAATCCAATCACTTCGGAAGACAGGAGAGCTCTCTGGAGCTCCAACGACCTCAGCTTCTACTGGCATTACTTTCTCCATCACCAGGACCTCACTCAACATGACAGGCTTGATGAAGTGGATGTGCTGTGACTCCTCGGTGACATCAACAACTTCAATATCCAGTGTTGAGTTGATTTTCACAACTTCATTGCGAACTGGAAGAGAGAAAGCACAATGTCATCCAGAGCAGAGCCATAATGGCTGGGAAATTTGGAAACTTTTAATCCAAGAAAATAACATGTCCCAGCACTGGTCAAGAAGAGTCCCAAAGACTATGTCTTCAAACATAAAACCGCCGCCATCTGAGATACAAGATATCCCCATATTGCCCCCTATTTTTGAGGAGACAATCAAAGGCTATGAAAGAGAAAGCGATGTGTCTTTTTGTTTTTCTTTTTAATAATGGAACACCAAATTAAAGAAAATTCTCCCCCCCCTCCCAGAGTAGGTGCTTGTTTTTTCTTTGCTTTTATGCCTTAAGGATAATCCTTTATTTGAAGTCCTGGCCAGTCCAAATCTGGTTTAAAGATAAGGAGCCCTGAACTTACAATGTAGGAGTCTAGAATTTTTTTCATGAGTAACTTAATTGGGGAGGAGTTAAATCACATTTTTTCTATACTTTTTTCTATATGCTATATATCATCAGTTGCAAATTTTATACCAATGTGTTCCTGTTTTCATGATGGATTTCCTCTTTTTTATGATTGTGTAAATGGTCATATTAGGAACAAATCATCTTGTTTTCTCAAGCCCTGAATTTCAAAGGTGAACACCAACACATTTAATTTATTTAATTCTCCAGCTGTGCATTGGTTGTTAGTTAGTCTTTTATATTTGACTGGCCAGTACGCTATTGGTCTTCCCAGCTAGAGTAGATTAACTGACTCAACAGTTGGTTGTTGTGGGTTTTTTGGGCGCTTTGGCTGTGTTCTGAAGAGCCTATTGTTCTTCCTAATGTTTCACCAGTCTCTGTGGCTGGCATCGTCAGAGGACAGGAGTCAGAACTCTGTCTGTGCTCTGGTGCAGTTTGTTTGGATAGTTGAGTATTTATGGCTGTGGGATCAGCTTTTGTCCTTTTCAGGAGATGGGTTTGTGGTGATCAGCGTGTTTTTTGTTGTGTGTGTATTGTTGTGATAAGAGGGAGAGATTATCTGTCACTGTGATTGATGGGTATTGTTAGCTGGTCTTTTGGGTGCAGTGATCCCCAGTCCTTGTAGCTGGGTAGAGTTTGTTGACCTTTTCAGATTGTTCTGTGTCAACTTACAATGCATTATTGCTTCCACGTTATACACTGGATAGAGCTCAAGCTCATTTGGACCAATCTCAGCGCACTTCAGCCTCTTCCGACTCAGGGATGCTGACTGTAAAACTTCCTGGAGAGTGCAGAGGTTTTGCTGATGGCAGTCAGATGATTTGGTTTTGGAAAAGGAGAGTGCTCGACCAAAGTGGTTCTTCTGCTTTCTCCTAGGCGGTTCTGAGATGGGCTGAAACAGACCTGAAGGATGGGATTTACAAGTCGAGATATTTTATTTTAATTTTTAGAACATGCAGTATATGCTACTCTTCAGTACTAGCGTTTTTTAAAGGTAAAATGCAATAAAAACCGAATATAGAAAATGGGACATCAGAAAGTAATAATGAGCTTTTTAAAAAAAGAAGTCAAGTTAAAGCAAAGATAAAACAAAGAGCTTTATAAAAATATCATAAAAAGTTTTTCACCTGCTGTCATCTGAGTCCATTGGTAGCCAATTCTTTTTTTATCTTTGCATCAGAAGGAACTGCACAATACAATCATATCTGCCCAGGTCAGAGGCCAAAATCTTATTAGTTATGACTTCTAGCATAAAGCAATTGGCATAAATTTCATTGATGAATTGTCACAAGTTATGAAGTTGGTGTGGGCATTTGGTGTAGTGCACTCAGTATTCAACTTCTTAATTTAAGGTAATTCACAAATGAGATTTACATTACATTATGTCAGTATAAGAACTCAATAAGATTTTGGCGACCGTCTGAGAAATGGAAGTTTCAGAAAAGGCCACTAACAGAGTTAATGGCTAAGAGAGCATGCTGCTCCAATATAAATAGATAAATATAAATTACCTTAAATATGTAGCATGCAAAACAACCTCCTTTTCTTAATTCTGAGAAAGGGTGTGGTATCCAGGTCTGAAGCAATGCAAATTGGCAGGGAAGGTTTAACCCTGTTCTCCACAATAAAAAAATCTACAAGTAAAGTAGTGCACCTTGGCATTTAACACAGGGTGCAGTCCCAACACTAAGCTAAGACAAGCCACTGGCAGGAGTGGTTAGAAGGTTAGACAGGGACTTCTGAGACGAGAAGTCAAATTCCTTCCCCCCCCAGCCGTTAAACTCATCAGGTGACTTAACAGAGCTGTAGTGAAGATAAAGTGAAAAATAAATTCCATATGCCACCTAAATCTCATTGCTGGATAAGTA